CACACACCCTCTCTCACTCACTCACCCACTCTCTCACACAGACACTCACACATACACTCTCTCACACAGACACACTCTCAGAGACACACACCCACTCTCTCTCTCTCTCTCACTCACACACTCTCACACAGACATTCACACATACACACTCTCACAGACAGACACACACACTTTCACACAGACACACTCTCAGAGACACACACTCTCTCTCTCTCTCTCACACACACACACACTCTCTCACACAGACACTCTCACACAGACACTCACACACACTCTCACGCAGACACTCTCACGCAGACACTCTCACGCAGACACTCTCACGCAGACACTCTCACGCAGACACTCTCACGCAGACACTCTCACGCAGACACTCTCACGCAGACACTCTCACGCAGACACTCTCACGCAGACACTCTCACGCAGACACTCTCACGCAGACACTCTCACGCAGACACTCTCACGCAGACACTCTCACGCAGACACTCTCACGCAGACACTCTCACGCAGACACTCTCACGCAGACACTCTCACGCAGACACTCTCACGCAGACACTCTCACGCAGACACTCTCACGCAGACACTCTCACGCAGACACTCTCACGCAGACACTCTCACGCAGACACTCTCACGCAGACACTCTCACGCAGACACTCTCACGCAGACACTCTCACGCAGACACTCTCACGCAGACACTCTCACGCAGACACTCTCACGCAGACACTCTCACGCAGACACTCTCACGCAGACACTCTCACGCAGACACTCTCACGCAGACACTCTCACGCAGACACTCTCACGCAGACACTCTCACGCAGACACTCTCACGCAGACACTCTCACGCAGACACTCTCACGCAGACACTCTCACGCAGACACTCTCACGCAGACACTCTCACGCAGACACTCTCACGCAGACACTCTCACGCAGACACTCTCACGCAGACACTCTCACGCAGACACTCTCACGCAGACACTCTCACGCAGACACTCTCACGCAGACACTCTCACGCAGACACTCTCACGCAGACACTCTCACGCAGACACTCTCACGCAGACACTCTCACGCAGACACTCTCACGCAGACACTCTCACGCAGACACTCTCACGCAGACACTCTCACGCAGACACTCTCACGCAGACACTCTCACGCAGACACTCTCACGCAGACACTCTCACGCAGACACTCTCACGCAGACACTCTCACGCAGACACTCTCACGCAGACACTCTCACGCAGACACTCTCACGCAGACACTCTCACGCAGACACTCTCACGCAGACACTCTCACGCAGACACTCTCACGCAGACACTCTCACGCAGACACTCTCACGCAGACACTCTCACGCAGACACTCTCACGCAGACACTCTCACGCAGACACTCTCACGCAGACACTCTCACGCAGACACTCTCACGCAGACACTCTCACGCAGACACTCTCACGCAGACACTCTCACGCAGACACTCTCACGCAGACACTCTCACGCAGACACTCTCACGCAGACACTCTCACGCAGACACTCTCACGCAGACACTCTCACGCAGACACTCTCACGCAGACACTCTCACGCAGACACTCTCACGCAGACACTCTCACGCAGACACTCTCACGCAGACACTCTCACGCAGACACTCTCACGCAGACACTCTCACGCAGACACTCTCACGCAGACACTCTCACGCAGACACTCTCACGCAGACACTCTCACGCAGACACTCTCACGCAGACACTCTCACGCAGACACTCTCACGCAGACACTCTCACGCAGACACTCTCACGCAGACACTCTCACGCAGACACTCTCACGCAGACACTCTCACGCAGACACTCTCACGCAGACACTCTCACGCAGACACTCTCACGCAGACACTCTCACGCAGACACTCTCACGCAGACACTCTCACGCAGACACTCTCACGCAGACACTCTCACGCAGACACTCTCACGCAGACACTCTCACGCAGACACTCTCACGCAGACACTCTCACGCAGACACTCTCACGCAGACACTCTCACGCAGACACTCTCACGCAGACACTCTCACGCAGACACTCTCACGCAGACACTCTCACGCAGACACTCTCACGCAGACACTCTCACGCAGACACTCTCACGCAGACACTCTCACGCAGACACTCTCACGCAGACACTCTCACGCAGACACTCTCACGCAGACACTCTCACGCAGACACTCTCACGCAGACACTCTCACGCAGACACTCTCACGCAGACACTCTCACGCAGACACTCTCACGCAGACACTCTCACGCAGACACTCTCACGCAGACACTCTCACGCAGACACTCTCACGCAGACACTCTCACGCAGACACTCTCACGCAGACACTCTCACGCAGACACTCTCACGCAGACACTCTCACGCAGACACTCTCACGCAGACACTCTCACGCAGACACTCTCACGCAGACACTCTCACGCAGACACTCTCACGCAGACACTCTCACGCAGACACTCTCACGCAGACACTCTCACGCAGACACTCTCACGCAGACACTCTCACGCAGACACTCTCACGCAGACACTCTCACGCAGACACTCTCACGCAGACACTCTCACGCAGACACTCTCACGCAGACACTCTCACGCAGACACTCTCACGCAGACACTCTCACGCAGACACTCTCACGCAGACACTCTCACGCAGACACTCTCACGCAGACACTCTCACGCAGACACTCTCACGCAGACACTCTCACGCAGACACTCTCACGCAGACACTCTCACGCAGACACTCTCACGCAGACACTCTCACGCAGACACTCTCACGCAGACACTCTCACGCAGACACTCTCACGCAGACACTCTCACGCAGACACTCTCACGCAGACACTCTCACGCAGACACTCTCACGCAGACACTCTCACGCAGACACTCTCACGCAGACACTCTCACGCAGACACTCTCACGCAGACACTCTCACGCAGACACTCTCACGCAGACACTCTCACGCAGACACTCTCACGCAGACACTCTCACGCAGACACTCTCACGCAGACACTCTCACGCAGACACTCTCACGCAGACACTCTCACGCAGACACTCTCACGCAGACACTCTCACACAGACACTCACACAGACTCTCTCACAGACACTCACACAGACTCTCACACACTCTCACACACAGACTCTCACACACAGACTCTCACACACTCTCACACAGACACTCACACACTCTCACACAGACACTCACACACACACTCACACACACACACACACACACACACACACACACACACACACACTCACACACACACACA